CCCCCCCCCTGCTACCCACCCTCCCCCACCTCCGCCTCCCCCTCCCTTAACCTCTCAACCCTTGTGATGCAACTGGACCAAAGATGGCATAGCGGGGCATGAAGCAGGAGAGTGACATCGACACAGACAAATTGGCAGGGTAAGTAGCAGGGTAGGTGGCAGAGGGACAACAAAACCCAGAAGAGACAAAGACGACATGACAAGAAACACCAAGGGACGCCTGACGGATCCACCGGTGGGGAAGCTTCGGCTCAAAGAAAGGTCTTAGCTGATACTGCAAATCACGGAAGGCTACTATAGAAAGCAGAGTACACATGAACAGTCCACTCTCACGAGCGGGGTAGGGGAAAGGGAGGCATGCTCGCCCACGCGAACCACGGTCCAATCACAAAAGACGTAGCATCAGGCCACAAGACTGAGATAGATTCATGGACCAGGGGCTACATGCTGAGAAAAGTAGAGGAAATAAGTTTAGGCCGTTCATTTCATTTTTAGATTTCTAAATTTCTAGATCTCTACATCTCTTAGCAGCTCCCATGGGCTCTATGAAGTCCAATACTATCACCGGTACTCTGATGTCGTGTACACAGTATGACACTGCTGGTGGGCACCACCACTTATCTGTCGCACAGGCAACCAACTGTGGCTGCTGTTTAGTATTAGTTGCCAAATCCCTCTTGTCTTGTCTCTTGTTCAAATTCACGACATTAATGTTCAGGGACGCTGGACCCCATTTCCGGCAGGTGCTGCTCCCCACCAATAGACGGAGCCTTCCCGAAAGTGCTAGCAGTGCCTGCTCTTATCAGCACCCCTAGCACCAACTAGGGCAGAAGAGAAACGAAAAGGAAGCTGTTGGAGACGGGATCAGGGGACCGGATGCATGGAAGAATGGAAACAGGAGGCCACCAAAATTAGAAACGAGGTTCTTGTCGGTAGGACAATAACAGACTTGCAATAAATTCCAGGCAAAGGGTACCGTAACAGGCGATTGGATGGGATCTTAGGGATAGTGAAGGTTGTGAAATGCTCACATAGGAATAGGGTAGGCAGTAAGTGTGAGGTAGACTTGTGCAGGACTGCCGTAGGCAGATACTAGGCAAGGCTGGATTGGTATGCAAGCAGTTGATGAATGGCGAGCGACCTCAGCGACTGCCCTGAACGCCCCCGCCCCCCGCGCCAAGCCCCCCCGGGGATGACCCTGTGTGTCTGGGTGCTGCTAGTATAGCCTCCTCGCCAGTAGGGCGATCCTCCGTGGAGGGCCAAAAACTGCCCCCCTTTGCTCAGGCGGCTAGTGCCACAAGGGCTAGGCTTTCCTGAGAACATTCGAGATTATTTGAGGTACCGGGGTCATTACCCGGCTTCGGGCTAGGCTGACCCTTCTTCTATTTTCTTTTCTCCCCCACTGTCTTTGTACGAACATGCTCACCGGGGATAAGTAACCGGACTGTTGCCCCCCAGAATAGAACGGGCCGGTGTGCTTTGGAAAGGGAAAAAAAAGGAAAAGAAAAAAAAAAAAGAGTTCCATTTACAGGCGCAGAAGGCACAGTACGTACGCCCTCCCTCACTTCGTGTCATCTCAGAGTCCTGCCATTCTCTTGTCCACCTGTGATGACTGGAAGTGCCTATAAACCTGTCTGGTAGCGTTGTAGCGGCATCATGTCTTGTGCACACCTGCTACCATCACCTCAGCGTTTGGGCTACGTTCCACTACCGTCTTCCCCCGAACACAACGGACCGGAAAGATAGATTGTATTCATTCATTATTAGGGTGCATTGTGTTCGGGGGATGATGGTAGCCGTGTGATTCCTTTCTCCTCGCTGGTGACGACAGGAAGTGCTCACATGCCATTGGGGGTTGCTGCACCACGCGCCAG